CCCTGGTCGGCGGCTGCGGCTGGAGCGTTTTGTCAGCTCCCTGCGGCCCCAGCCCCACTGCCCGGCGGCCAAGGGGTGGCTGGAGAGGGAGATCGCAAGCACCGTCCGCAAAGTGGTCCGGGACTTTGTCGCCTCCTGGTACTGCACCGTCAGCAGCGAGCCGGCCTTCGAGGCTGAGGTGGAGAAGGCCATGATGGGCCTGGCCGCCGAGCTGAGGCTGAGGATGGGACGAGTGGACCGCCAAGCCCTGGCACACCGCCTTCTCCTCCTCTGTGGCCATCACTTGCAGAGCTACCTGCAGGCCTGTGAGAACCTGAAGGGCGATCCAGAGGGCAACCGGACCCTGTGGCAGGAGTACAGCCGGCTGGTGGGGCCGCACCCTGCCCTCCGCAGCCCCGCAGCTGAGGTGGGCTATGCCCGGGCTGCTGTGGAGACACTGCTGCGGGCGCTGGTGCCATGGCCCCACTTGGAAACACGGACGGGACGTTTCGTGGTGGTGGAGCTGGTCGCCTGCAATGTGCTGCTGCCAGCCATCAGGAAGATGGCCGATCCTGACTGGATCAACCTGCTCCTCATTGGGGCTTTCTCCAAGAAGCCCCGGGGTGAGGAGTTACCCCCTGCACCCCCAGTGCCTGATTTCTTGCCCTTCGTGGTGCACACAGACGCTGTTCCTGCTGGGCTGCCCCCCTCACCAAGGTTCACGGAGGTGCCCAGGCAAGAGGCAGGGGCTGCTAGCGAGGAGGGAGAGGACATGGCGAGTGGGCTGTGCCACACAGAGGAGCCTTTCCTCCGCCCGCGAGCCCTGGGCTCCCTCTTCCCCTGTGAGGGTATGGAGCTGGAGTCCCCTATGCCTGATGCGGGCCAGGACACGGACCTGCTGGTGCCATCACCCGCGGGGGAGTTCCTCGATGAACCCCTCCAGGATACCTCCACTGTGCTGGAGGGACCGGCCACTTCAGAGGATGGCGTGGGGGATCTGGAGGAGGCCATTGCCACCAGCTCAGATTCTGGCCTGCTTCCCACCTCTGCTTTTGTGCTGAGCTCCTGCCCTGACATCCAGATCAATCCAGCAGTGGAGAAGGAAGAGGAAAGCCCAGTTGTCCCCAAGAAATCCTCCTCGCAGAGGCCTTCCAGCTTGGGGAAAGATCTGGGGGCAGCAGACGGCCCACCACAAAGTCCCCCAGACCCTGGGCAGACTCTGCCCCTGCTCTCATCCTCCTCCCCAACGGCTTCCATCAGCACCTTCAGCTTTGAGCCCCTCAGCAGCCCTGACGGGCCAGTTGTCATCCAGAACCTGCGGATAACTGGGACCATCACTGCCCGAGAGCACAGCGGGACTGGCTTCCACCCCTACACCCTGTACACCGTCAAGGTAAAGGCTTCCCTGTCTGTCACCCCTTTTCCAATTTCTCTGCCCTGACAAGGGAGCACATGTGGTTTTGGAGACAGGGACTTGCTCTGTGTGTGGCTCAACAACAAATTTTGTCTGGCAGTGGGGGGATTATTGGCCACAGTGGCTTTTCCAGTGGCTGTTTGGGTGTGGGATAGGGGTTCCCACTTGTGGCCAAGGGTTGCATGGGGCTGGTTGAGAGTTTTGTAGCCTTTGTTTTCATGCTGAGGGGTCTGTATGCTGTGCAGCTGCTGTTCTTCAAGGAAGGGTCAGTGTGAGGAACCGCTGGATGGGGCCTCTGTGGGGTCTGTGGACTGTGGGGCCGACGAGGACCATAGCACATCAGGAATGTTTTGGGGTAAGGATTATTGTCTGTTGCCTTCCTCCTCAGTATGAGACAGCCCTGGAGGGTGAGAGTGCAGGCAGCCTTCAGCAAATGGCTTACCACACCGTGAACCGCCGTTACCGGGAGTTCCTCAACCTCCAAACCAGACTGGAGGAGAAACCGGAGCTCCGCAAATTCCTGAAAAGTCAGTGACTGCATGAGCTCCCTTAGAAAATCCTTGTCCCTCTCACCCCAGTCCATGTTCCTCTGTTCTGAGGGTATTCTGTCCTGCCTGTACAGCTCTGGGCTCTTTGTGATGCCCACCTCCTCCATTGTTTTGTGCAGGGCTGGATGGAGGAGAGATTTTTTCCTTTTGGCAGCAAATTCCAGTGTTTCAAAACATCCTTGCTCCTGTTCTGATCACAACACTTGTTTTTGCAGTTTTGCACTGTAACAGTGAATAGAAACACTGGTATCTGCAAGCATGTTGCCTCCATGTAAGAAAGGAGACTAGTATGGGTTGAACATAAGCTTTTTTAAAAAAGAAAACAATGTTTCTTCTAATGTTACTTATGTATAAAGCCTCATTAAATTTAGCCTCTTCCTACATAATCCTTTGGTTCTGACAAATCCGAAGGTTTGGCCAGAAAACTGCTTTGTTGAGAATTTTAGTGGCTCTTTGAGTGATCTAGAGTCCTTGTGCTAAACTGGTGTTCTTGCTTCTTTGAACTTCAAAGGCACGGATACGGATGATATGAAGTCCAGCAGAATGCAAGTTCTGTATGGATTTGAGGTCTAATTCAGGTTGCCTGCCTTGAGGGGCATATTATCTTGGGCTGATGCCAGGCAGTGTGTAGTGGTAGTTTTAAGCATGAGAGCATTAAGATTTTAACACAACTGTTGCAGTTTTCTCAAGCTTGCTAATGGATTTGTTTACTTTGTAGATATCAAAGGCCCAAAGAAACTGTTCCCTGATCTCCCGTTCGGAAATATGGACAGCGATAAAGTGGAAGCCAGAAAAAGTCTGCTAGAATCTTTCTTGAAGGTGAGATGCTTGCTCATGTGCCCCTGTGAGCTGGAAAGCAGTGCTCGGGACAGCTCTGTACTGACAGTGGAGCACATCAGATCTATTCCCCAGCACTTTACATGATTGGGCTGGGAAGTCAACTCGAAAAAGACCTAAAGTTACATCTTTCCTTGCAGCAATTGTGTGCGGTTCCTGAGATAGCAAACAGTGAGGAGGTGCAGGAGTTCCTCGCCCTGAACACTGACGCCAGGATTGCGTTCGTCAAGAAGCCCTTCATTGTCTCCAGGATAGACAAGGTACACAAGTGGGAAACTGGTTATCTGAGCCACTTGCAACTGCACCCAGACGTGCCTCTTGGGCTTCAGTGTCTATGTGGTAGTAGCCAAAAAACTCAAGTGCTTTCTGTGTAGCTGGGCTCAGCTTGCCCAGAAAGCCATAAAGCTAGGAAGAGTTGGAGTCCATCTCAAAGAGCCAGGGGGGGAGTTATCCTGGAAAATAGAGAGAATGCAAGTCTGAAAACTCTTAATTCATATTCAAGGAATAGAAATATATTCAATAATTGATGGCACTGCTGGCTTTTGCAGATCGTTGTCAATGCCATTGTGGACACCTTGAAGACGGCATTCCCCAGGTCAGAGCCCCAGAGCCCCACGGAGGATCTTAGCGAGTCTGAAGTGGAAGGGAAATCTCAGACAGAAGGGAAGAAGACTAACAAGTAAGGGCTCCCGCAGCTTCCCCCATGCTTTATGCACGACATGGATTTCATGCCTAAGCTGACTCTGTTGTGGGGAAAAGACTTGATGCTTTACCTGTTGTGGATAAGCTGTTGTACTATAGCCAAATTGCTTTCTCTGTCACATACTGAGCAAGGGTATTTGAGTTCCTCTTTGTATAAAGGATTTTCTAAGAATTCTCAGCTTTTCACAGAAGGTGGGTTTCCTCCTGAGGGACCTATGGGGCAGTGGCACTTGCCAGCAAAGATGTTGATGCTGCTGGAAAATTGCTTTTTACCCTTAAACATGCACATGACCTATATATGTGGTGAGTCACTGCAAAATACATCTGTAAGTTGTATACCTGAAGGTTCACTCCTGCCTTTCCCACGTGTTTCACACAGTGGCATGCTGCCTTGCCCAGCAAACATCTGAATATTTATTTAGGAGTAGTGTTTAAGGTCACTGCATGTATGTTGCTTCACCGAGTGTTTATTTGGTGTTGCTGGCAGTGACCAGCCTCATTGTGCTCATCAGTGGTTCTTCCCTTACAGAAAGGAAGGTTTCTGCATGAGTATGGCTTTTTTTTTTCCAGAAAAGAGATGCTTTGCTAGAAAAAGCTGCTTTGGACAAAAAGACAAACCAAAAAAGTACAAGTTTTGAAGCATCTGGGCTGAAAAGAACATTCCTTAGTGACAAACAGGCTATTTTACAGTTTAGCCCACAATCCCAAATGCCCTTTGATATCCTCCTTTCTGTGTGTGTGTGTGTGTGTGTGTGTGTTTATGATTGGATTTCCCAGTCCTGCTGGGTATGTTTCATCTCAGAGGTGTTTCTGAACGCTCTCCTGTGTATGCTGCAACGCTCACACCTTACTGAGCAGAAATGCCTGTATCTCCATGAAAATTTGTATGTCCCATACCTGCCAAAGAAGGTGGATGTCAGAAAGCCTTGGCTAGGCGCTTGTGTAGTTGAGGAAAAGTCCTTTAAAGCTTTTGTTGTGTAGTTTTACTGCCACCTTAGTTATCCTGGGGGCATATGCTTTTTTTGAACCACTTTAGGTCTAGTCAGACTGCTTAGCTTGGACGTGACACTGGACAGAGGAGGCTGATCCAGGTTCTTGGCTGAGGCTGGGAAACTCCTCACTCGCAGTTTGTGGAGGAAACCTTGACTCTGGTGTGTTTCTCCTCTTCAGGTCCAGGCTGAGGTTCTCGTCCAGTAAAATTGCTCCAGTGCTGAGCGTGAGCGAAGCGCATGACAGGATCGTGTACTCTATCAGGGAGGGCAGCGCTGTAAGTTCAGATCCCTCTCACAGTCCTTTCATGATCTGAATCATCACCCTGTTCGGCTGCTGCCTGGGAATAATCCACGTGCACAAGAGTTGTGGCTGTTGCAGCCTTGTTCCTGCACACCAGGTTTTTGCAGAGAGGCAGTAGTTGTGCTGGTAAAACCACAGCAGTGTGGGGCTGTCTGGTGTGTCTGATCAGCTTAGGCTGGGTGCAGCTCACTGCTGTGGTACTTTTGTAGGTCTCTGGCACCCTGTCGCTGGCAGCTATGGAGTCCTTCATCCAGAAGCAGGAGAAGCTGCTGGAGGCAGTCCCCAGCAAAGCTCCCGAAGGCGAGGGAGGCAGAGAAGCGAAGGAAGGCTCCATGCAGGAGGATATGGATGGGCTGGAACAGGGGACACATCCAGACACGGACTCTGGTGAGCTCAGCCCCTCTGTCAGTGCTTCAGTTTATCTCCCTCAGTACTGCAGCAGCTCCATAATCTGCAGGCTCAGTTGCAGGGGCTTCAGTATGAGGAGCTGGTCTCCTGCCTGTTGCACCTTCATTAAAGGGAAAGTAAACTGCGTTTTTCCAGTCCTCTTAGGCAATTGCTCTGGTCTTTATTGCTAGGGGAAGCAAACTGCTTCTTGGCTCAGTTGTGTCACTGTCGATCTTCACCTTAGTGTACTCAGTACAGTTATGGCAGTAATAAGTTTCTTAAGGACACACTGCTTAAACTGCCAGTGTTATAAAATCAAGCTCTTAGAAAAATGACCGAATGATGTTTTCTTCGTAGTCTCCAAGTTAGCCTTGATATGTCCATGGACCTTTTGAGATTCAGTTTGGATAGATTTGGTGGGAGTAGCAAATATGTAATCCCAGTTCAAGGAATGATTTTCCTTTTCTGGTTAGAGATCCCTCCTCTGAAGCACAGGGGTGCTATGGCCTCTCAGAGCAGTTACGAGATTATCCTGAATGTGAACAAAAAATATGTTCTCTAATCTTATTCTTGGAATAGCTGAGCTGTATCAGCTGGAACTTTTCAAAAGTTTCACTCCAGTGGTTCAAGTTTGGCAAGCTGTGACTGAAAGCATGTGCTTGTGACAGGATGGGTCTGTTACTCTGAAACTTAGCCTGTGCTACCAGCTTTGCCTATAATCTTTGAACACATGCCTGCAGTTGTTTTGGGTGTGCTGGGGAGCAGGACTGGAATTGGAGGCCACAGAGCACAAGAGATACAGGCAGGCCAAGTTAGCTGAACTCTTAAGGAAGTTTAACGTAAATGATGTCAAATGCCTGCAGGTCTGTGATGCTTCAGAGCCGACAGGGCAGGCTGGTCTGACAGGGTAAGGGGGTTGGAAGTCTGGGGAGCAGCTGGCTAAAAAGGCAACTGGTGTCTGTATCTGCTCACTGGGTGACTTCTTGGAAGAGGTTGGCCCGCAGCTCTCTGAGAAAGGGGACTTGGACGCTACAGGAGTAAACAGAGCATGTTGAGGATGCTCTTTATATGGGGTTATGGTAGAGCTAAACAGCCTGCTCCAGCATTTGCACAGAGAAGTTAAGTCTCAAAGCAAGCAAGGAGTAACTTGCACATAGCCCAGAGCAAGAGGCACCAAATGTACTCATGCCTTCTCTTTCCCAAGTGAAATGGCCTGGAGTTAATTAGTCCAGCTCCTACACAGCAGGGAGAGGAAGAGGAGGGAAGGAGAGCTACTGGGGTCCAGAATCCCTTTATCTCCAGCAGTAAATCACGTATGAACAGTCTTGTTGGCTCTCTGTAGGCAGTGGTTGAAAGATCAGGCATCGGGGAATGGCAGAGCAGGGGAAGCTGCTCTGCAGGAGCTCCTTCTGCCAACAGGGCCGTCACGGCAGCCTCCGGTCAGGGCTCTGGCCTAGGAATGGTTGTCTCATTCAGGTTTGTGGTACATCAATAAGCTCTGATGCTTTGGGGCCAAGCAGCATAAAAATAATTCTCTAGCAAGCAGAATGTGTTTCCACTGCTGGCTTTGACATCCTCCTGAGGATCAGAGAGAGGTTTTGCTGTCCCAGGTCTGTGTCACCGGGGATATGTGGGCATGTGTGTGGGTTTTTGTGTGAACTGATTCATCTGGTTTATCCAGGTGTGGTTCATCCATCTTGCTGCTGAGACTTGGACCTGCCACACGATGGCAGCGTGCAGACACCAACCGGAGCCTTGTGCCTGGAGAACTGCACGTTGGAAGAGGGGAAAGAGTTGGTGAAGACAGGAAAATAGTCCTCAGCAATGTACTTTTCTCCTGGCTACAGTCACTGCCTTCCTTCTCACCTGTTTTGGGCACACTGCCATCCCCGTGCGTGGACTGGGATTTGATAATCCCCGTTTAACTGAGAAGGAACTGGGCAATCAGAGCAACCACATTCTGGGCTTGGATGGGAGGTTGGGACTGCTTGGATGAAAGTGGAAATGAAAGGCAGAGACTGGGGCAGGAGCCTGGGCACGCGGGGCTATGGGGAAAAAGAGTGAGTTTTAGATGATGCTTTTTACCATGTTTGCTTGGGCACTGAGTTGTCTTCATCTGACCCTCCTCTTCCTCCTGCCAGACCCTGAGACAGCATTGGCTGACCTGGCCCTGGATGTGCTTCGTCTGCTGATGATGGATCACTGGAGCTGGCTGTGCACGGAGAACATGCAGAAGGTCTTCCACCTGCTCTTTGGGACCCTCATTCAAAGGTAAGGCCTCAGCGACCAACCTCACAGCTCTCCGAGGTGGCATTGCCTTTGGAGTTGCCGTCAAAATGGAGCTCTGAACGCAGATAAAAGCACAGCTCTGAATGAAGCCTGAATGCAGATAAATGCTTCTGTTGCAGCAAACAACAAGGTTCTGTAACGAAGATGTGTGTATGTAGAGTAAACATCTCAGAGGTTTGCACTAGGAGCTGTTTTCCCCGTGAGCAGCAACATAACTCTAGTGGGCAGTCTCCTGTCCTTTAATAACAGGGGAAAGAAAGGATCTGGCCCTGGGAATGGGAGGATTCTTGCCTTATGAAAGGGCAAGAGTGCCTAGCTCCTTGGCTCTCCAGGGAGATATTGGCTTGTGTTGGCCTCCTGATCTCTCGCTGCCCAGGAGCTTGGCTTGTTTTATCTACAAAAGGAGAATAAACAGGCCCAGGGAACAGCGACTTGTCAAGTAACAGCTTGCAGTGCATCCTGCCAGGGCCTTTGCTCTCGCAGAGGCACCCCTCTCTGATCTGTGGTGGGCCAGTGGTGCCCGTGCCTTGGGCAATGACCTGCAGATGTATTAGGGTCAGGCTTCCTTTCCAGCTGGTACGTACTTGCCAAGCTTTTCTGAGGCCAGTGCCTCTGTGTGGTAAGGCACTAGGCCAAGACACACAAACAGACAGCATTTCTGTCGTCTTGTGTAGGTCGGTGCCTATCGCTAGCTGAGGAAATGGTCCTCTGGAGTAAAAGGAAAGCCTTCCCAGAAGGATTTTGGCTAGGAGGAGTCTCGGAGCAATGCTTTACCCATTCCTGTGCCCTTTCTTCTCTCGCAGGCATTCAAAGTCAGTGTCAGAATGTGCAGGGCGGCACATTATAACCAAGCTGGTAAATTAAGCTGACCCTCAGCAGAGGTTGTCGGAGCGCTTTGAGGTCAGGGGCTGCTGGCCATCGCTCCCCAGTCTGTTTCCTTGGGTGGGAGGAGGTGGATGTTGCTCCCATTTCTCTAAAATGGGCTTTGGTCTCTTGGGGAATGAGCTGGAACCCAATCCTTGTGTGTAAGCACAGAGGTATGAAAGCTTGAATAGGCACGTCATCACCTCCTAATAAGCTGTGTCCCGGTCATCCAGGGAGCCTGCAGCACCGACACGTGGCGTTGGTATTTTCCACTAGAAAAGCTGTCATACACACACAGAGCACATGCCTGGCTCTGGAAGGTGGAGGAGCTCCACAAGTTGTGCTGGTGGAGCAGCGTCAGGATGAATGTGTTTGCTCCGCTGTGACGGGTCTGGCTGAACCTACGTGTGCTGCAGGCAAACTTCTGTCTGGAGGTGGTGTTGGGAAGTCCCTTGGCTTCTTGGAGTCATGATCAGGGTGTAAATACAACCTTTTGAATGATCCCTGTGCCCCTGGGATGTGTCCGTGCTGAAATCTGCTCTGGCTCTGCTCTTGTTCTGGGTCAGTCAGGAGGCTTCAGGTCCAGATGTGGAGGGGACAGGGGGAAGGAGCTGCACAGTGTGAACTAACCCATTGCCAGGAGGATGGTGCTGCTCATGAGTTGCTGCAGGGAACATTTTCCTCCTCTGTTTCAGAGGAGTCGCCCTCCCAACCCAGAAGGCTGTTTCTGGGACAGTGCTTTGGTCTCCTGAACAGGAGAAGTGTTAGGGCAGAGGTTCTCCATCTTTAATCAAGGATGGCAGGTTTTTAGTGAGCCTAAAGCCCACGTGGAGGGCTGGGGCTCAGCAGGATACTGCCCTGAGAGCAGTCAGTGTCTGCCTGTATGAAAACCGTGATCTGGCAAGAGAGCAGAGTTCAGACGATGCCTGAGATGGACATACAAGACGAGGCAGGCACCTGCCTCTGTGGCAGAGGAGAATTGGGAAAGGGGGTTCTCCGTGCTGGCTTGCCATTGCACCCTGTTCCTGAGCCACACAGAAGGGTGGCTGAGACCTCTTGTACTGGCTGGCCCAGGTGGCCACTGCTGTCCTGAGCAGCTCCAGAAGTCTCTAGCTCAGACCTGCTGCCAACTGCCTATCCGGGGGCACAGCGTGGATTTGGGGACATTTCTCATCCATTTAAGTATCTGCAACTTGATCGCTGCTCGGCCAGACCTGGCACAGCCCTGGCACTGGCATTCTAGCTGGCACTGCGTCTGGGTACCCTTTACAGGTGGAGAAAATACCAGAAGCTGTTCCGGGAGCTTGTGCTATTCAGGGTCTCTGACAGGCAGACAAACGTGGGGCGGCAGATGGGCACGCATCCTGTCTCTAACTGTTCCTGGTCACAAAGTACGAGTAGGCATCATTTCTTTGGGAGGTGAGGGTCCCCTCTTCCCATCAGTGGCTGGGTTAGGTGGAGGGTGGTGGAAAGGAGGTGTCCTGTCAGTGGTTTGGGTGTAAAGAAGGGGGTTGCTGCTGGATACTCCTCTGCCAGCTTGTATTTGGTGAGTAGCGTGCTGCTCCTGCAGCCTTCTCACAGCTGCCTTTGTGGACATTGCCAGCTCTCTGCACCGAGTATCCCTTATCCCCAAGCAGAATAAACAACCAGAAACCCACCGAGAACACAGTCCAGCTTCTCCGGAGACCCAATCCCCCTCTCCTTTGGGAACTTTCTCTCTTGGGCTCGTGGTGATTGCTGTGACTGCGCTGTTGCTGATTATGGGTTCTCTGCATGGAGCATCCCACCACGCTCCTCTTTCCCCTCTTCTCTGCAGCTGAAATAGCTGGAGCCAGGCACTATCAGTCTCCCCTGACTGTCAGTTTAATGGCAGCCGGGGAGAGGAAGGCTGTATGACCGAAAAAGGTATTGTTAAGTAAAAGAGAGCCCGCATCCATGCGGCGCTCATCCCATTATGTAACAGGGAGTGATCCTTTTTCGGAGCCGAAAGCAGAGGCGGGTGGAGGGGAGGTGGAGGGGCTGGGAGGCTCACTGGGAGCCAGAACGACCCTGGGGCTGAGGATTGCTTCCAGCAGCCTCTCCACGCGCTGAGTCCATGCCTGTAAACAAACCCGCTTTGGCTCCACACCCCTCCTCTGTCCAGCTCTGCTTCCCTCCCACGGGCTGGAAACGCCGATCTCTCTTTCCTGGGGAGGCTGAAACAGGGACCTGTTTGCAACGGGGAGTAGATCGGGGCTATTCTGGGCTCCGGGGGTGTTTGGTGGAAGAGCTAAAAAGCATTTTGAGAATCCATGTGCTTTTTAGAGCCTTGTGAGTCAAAAGAGGCGTTAAAAATATGCAGCAAACCGCGCTGGGGCTGTGACCCCATGCCCTGCCCTCAGTCTGTCCCCGATGGCGCGATGGTCACTGGGTCAGGGGTCTGCCAGGGCTGGGGGCAGCCATAGAGCCGGGGTGATAGCCACCGGCTACCAGCTCACTGTGCCCTTCAGCTGCTGCTGGAGGGGCAGTTCTCCCAGGGCCACGTCTGCTTCTCCCTCTGAAGGGATCCCCAGCAGAGTGCCCAGATCCCGGGGATGGACCTGGGAGTATTTTAGGTGCAGATCCAGGTCTGTATGCTTTTCTAGCTCCTTCCCACACCACAACAGAAAGCCGTGACACTGCAAACCCTCGAGCGGAGGGAAGGTGTCTTGGCGCACCCCGGCTGTCTGCACCCTGTAACCTGAGCGGGGCTGGGGCACAGAGGCCGTGCCGGCGCTCAGAAGCGCCTGTGTGTATATAAGGGAGCGTGTGGAACTACGTAGGCAGCTTTGATGGTGTCGTGTTCCACTGAGCAAGAGTTAAAATAAATGCAAATCACCCCAGCCTTACCCGGGAGCTCAGCACCGCTTGGCCTGCTGTTGCTTTGGGTCACTCTGGTGTTCCTCCAGATTTTGTCCCCTGCCCCATTGTTCCTCGGCAGAGTGGGTGGGTTTGGGGAGGTGATGTTCCAGTCTGTATGAGATATAGAGGGAGAGCCAGGGACGCTTTGAGACTGATTAGAGATGACCATCAGGCTTTTATGAGCGTGGTTTCTTGCAAGTTCTAGCTCCACTTCCCTTTGTGTGTCTGGCTAGCTTTGGCTTCTTCTCCTTGTAGGGTTTGCTCTCCTTAGCTGGTTCTCCCAAAGTTTCCGCCTCTGCTGAACTAGCATGGGAAGGAAAATTCTGTCTGAGCTCAGATCCAGTCTGGAGCTGAGTCCTGGGCTGTGGTCTTGCAGGGAGCCTGGCTCTTGGGTGCTGCCTTGACAGACACTGTGCCCTGGGGTGGGATCAGAGGAGAGAACGAGCCCTCGGGCAAAACACAGGTTTTGATTCTGTACACCAAAACAGGGCTGAGTGGTCCTGGGGAGGCTGTAGCAACAAGGGCCTTGTCTTTGATTTGAGGTGCTGGATCTTGCTGGGTGTTGCTGGGGGTCAGGAGCTGGACAAGGCCACAGAGGGGTGATAGTCTTCATCTTAGCAGCAGTAAGTCTGGAGCATCTGAATTCTTTTTGCAGCCTGGATTTGGGCAGGGGGTTTGGTCTGTTAGGGTTTGGATCAACGGGTTGGCTAAACCTGATAAACACCAAACGCCTCAATACAGGCAGCCCTGCTTGCCTGTGGAAATGATCTGGGCGAGATTTGGCTACGACGTGTGTGTCTCCCCATCCCTGCCTCACTGAGGGGTAACGGTTCAGCCACATGACTGTTTTCATGAGCCCTCCCGCCAGGGGCTTGCTCAGCTTCCAGCCCCACCGAGGGAGAACTTCTCAGACTGATATCTGTGGCCTGTGATTGAAAAAAGGGCTGGGCTGTCAAGTTAACAGGGCGGCAAAGGGTCCTTGCAGCCAAGCTGGGAGTCCCTTCAGCAGCCCAGATATCTGCACTGGTCTGAAGGGTGCTGCATCTTGTTCTCCTAGCACGTTTTTATGAGGGGGGTGAATCTTTTGTATTCCCTGAGAGCCTGCATGCTGGTGGAGGGCAGGCCAAGTCACCACAATGACTCCCAGGAACAATTGTGCTGGTGACTTTATTAACTGACCACTTTAATAAGTGAATGGAGACAATTTGGCAACGATCAACTGATAACCACCCGGAGAA